GATCGGCTTCGCTTCGGAGGACCCCCCCCCCCCTTACTTGGCGTGGGGTCTGGTATTTTAGAGGGCGAGTGATGCCATTTGGTACGTTTTAGATCTATGATTATGCTAATCAAAATTCTAATTTCAAGAGGTGTGATTTTTTTTCAGAAATCGAAGGGGGCAGGACCCCCCTGACCCCCCATTAAATCCTCCGCTGGTACCAGTAGGCCTTCATCTATAGGCCCTAACAATACATTGCAATGGATCGATCGGGTATATTACCCAGATAAGAGGACGTTGGGCCAACGGTGGGCTAACGTTGGCATGGTTGGGCGAGCGACGTCGGGCCAACGTCGTCTTGCTATCTGGGTATAGACGGGGTTTTTTTTCTACTAAATAATCATTTGTTTTGTGTATCATTTTATTTTATGTTTTTGAAAGTTTTATCATTCTCAAGTATAATTTTTGAAACCCTCAAGAATGAAAAGAGTTTGAATGTCAAAATAAACCAAGTCCTGTGATTGAAATTCAGCTTTGATCAGCTTTATGTCAAGTTAAAACACCGGAGACAAAAAAAAAAAAAAAAATAAAATAAAAAAAAGAAAATAAATAAATAAAAATAAAAATAAAATAAAAAAAACCGACAAGAATCGTCTTTGAATAATCAAAGAAGAAAAGAAAATATGAGTCTGCGCTTGGTGTTTTTTTTTTAATTCGTTGGACATGCTTTCAAAAGGTCCAAAATATAAAAGGAGCTAGTTTGAATTTATTTTGAAAATGTCGCGTAAGCAAGACAGCGTAGAGGTATAGGCCTAGTCCGTCGTCATGAAATATTTCCCACCAGTAGGTGTGAGTTGTCAACTTTACTTTTAAAAATACGAGTCAAGTCAGTCACGTCAGTCACGTCTGCTTCGAACTGAGATGATCGGAGCCAACGTAGGTCTATTGTGTTAGTAAAGATACGTCACACCACAATCACTACAAACACAATCACACGACAGATACAGGACTTGGGAGCTACTCGGCGGCCCAAGACACTATCATATTTGTTGATTGGATACCAGTTTGACACGAAATGTAAACCTTTTCTAATTTAGTTTCTAAAAGAGTTGATAAAAAAATGAAAACACTCCCAACAATAATTTGTATTTAGAAGGAGGGGTGATATAAAAAAAGACGATTTGCTAAATGCGCATTGCTTTTTAAGTTTACACATTTCCTGTGAGGGGAGGCTGTTCCCCCCCCCCTCCCCTCCCAGAGTTTGCTCTTTCTTTTCCCAGTCCATTAGGTCAAGTCAGCGTCTAGATTATTACAAACAGCTTGTATTGCATGTTTTGTAGACCTTTAACAAGTGCCCCAAGCAATTTTTTTCAGCCAGAAGACCGGTTTTAGGCCTCTAATTTGAAAAAGTGAAACCGGCAGATAAAAATTAAAGCATGGGGTGCTGAAATACATTTATAAGAATGAAATGGCGATCAACTTCATACGGCTCACAAAGTGTAAATGGACCTCTCGGTTATAATGAGCGTCACCGTGATTTAAAAGCCATGCATAGCTTTTGTAAAAAATCACAGCCTTTCTTCAAGGCGGTCACCCGGTGATTTGAACAGGTTTAAGCATAATAACATGTTTTCTGCTACACCTCGGTCTTTTAAGGCAACGGCTGCGTACTGTAGTTTCACACAGACACACACACACACACACACACTAATCGAAAAGATAAAAACCGAAAATCGTGGCCCTCTAAATGAGCAGTCCTCTAAATAAGACAACCGTACGTCAGGGCTGATTTCTTCATCTAGGCAGACCGCTACAGATCTATCATAGATCGAATTAAACAGAGGAGAAAGAGGTCGAGAGCAGGATTGAAGTTCTATGTTTTACATGTAAAGTGGTAGTGGATATAATTTACTATTCACTCACAAGAATTTGGCTTTATATGTAGTGAAAACATGGAAATATCTATAACTGGAATTTACTAATGTTTTCGAGATAGTAATCACTAGTAATCACTTACTTTGGAACAAAAATATTAGTAAAACAGCCACGTTAGTAAATGCAAACCCTTGGGACCGTGAACAATCATATAGATGATATAACTGGAATGTATAAATGGGCTTTATTCCACTGTAACAGCAGGTGAGCCTGATCTTTCAAAGTAGATATAATTATAAAATATATTTAAAAAAAGGAAAAAAAGTGTTGTGATAAAAGGTGGTTTTAAAATGAACGTGTCCATAGACTTACTGTATGTTGATCTGATCTTGATTATTCCGACGCAATTAATTGTAAATCTTCTTCTCACCAAAACTACTGTACATGCCTTTTTACTGAAGTGTTGTTATTTTTCAATTTTTCTTGAACTTTTTTGGTCAAAAGGGGGTGAAAATGTTAACAAAGTTTTTTAAGCATAATGCTACGTGATTATGACAGTTACACTGCGCAGCACTATGAATTTACCCTTTTTTGTAACAAAATTTGGGGT